TATCGATTTCAACCTGTTTATATCCCGTTACACAGCTTGATGAATACGCATCCGTTTTGAACTTCAAATGTAATTTTGATTCGGGGGATGCATGTGAAATGGAAAACGAGGGTAATGGTAGAGAGCCATTACCTGTTTATAATTATACAGTTTACAATGGAAATACGGTACCAGATAAAACACTGGGACCTCTTTTTGATCATACAACAAATTCCGCGAATGGTTCATTTCTCTATTGGGATTATCGCATTCCTCTTCAACCACAAGGTCTGGGCCGCATGAATACGCTACCGGTTGAAGTTGATGTTAGATCATGTCTGAGGTTCTCATATTATTTGAAATCGAGAAATCTACCGGGTACAAATGGTACAAAACTAAACATTAATGTTGGCGGATGTATGGCAACAACACTTTGGTCTTTCATCGGTGATGATAGTAATGGATGGCAAACAGCGACGGTTCCATTTAAACCGTATGCTTGTTCTGAAACATTTTCATTTGATATCATTCAAAATAATGTGGTACCAATAGCTTATGCAATTGATGATGTGATGATCGGAGAATGTCAAACACTTCCTACGTCTACTACAACCAGTACGAGTACAACTACAGTTACCACTACTACAACAACGAGAACCACCACTACTACTACCTCCACAACAACAACTACGGTGACTTCAACTGCGACAAGCACTGCTAGTTTATCAACCACAACAACAGCTGATTTTACTACGACGACCTCTCTTACATCTTCTATTACAGCCACCAGTCAAGAATTTAGTTCTATGACCACAAAATACAATAATTCAGCTCTCCACAAAGTAGCTAAATTAGTAAATATAATGGGCTTTGTCTGCCTATATTTTACTTTTTTATCAAAATGTTCTTTACATTTGTTATGAGCGTTTTAAGTAAAATTTTATGTAATTGGAGACTTGCTGTAAACGAAAATACAAGAATGGGAAGCAATACAAAAACTTAAATTGTTGTATGACGATAGAAATGGTTAGAGTGAATGTAACCAGTAGTGGTTATTGAAGTCCAAAAACTTATGAAAGTCTGCAAACAAATGACTCTTTCTCATCTATGTTTTTGTCATTTTTGTCTCATCATTGCTAAAATTAGATGTCTCTAAAAGGATAAAACTCAACTGTTGCTGATGAGACTGTTTTAAGTCGTTTAACCCTCGGTTACTGTCGTGGGGTCCACGTGGACCTACTTTACAGCTTTTTGTTGCGTACTACACAACCATTTACTGTTTCGAATCATTTGTTTTTTGTAATCTCTAGCCTTTGGATAGTATATAATATCCTTATGAAAAGCTACATATAGATCTAACAGAAAAAGAATACAGATATGGGTCCACGCGGAGCCCAGGACACTAATGGTGTTATAGATATGATTTTTCGCTTTGTTATAACTGCCATCTGCTGCGTATCGATTTACTTTTAAAATAAATAAGTTATGATTCGTTTGCGCGTTCATCTCTCGTATTACCGACTCATATTTTCTCTATAGAGTGGTGAAGTTTTGCTATTTCTTGATCAAAACCAAATTTCTGTATTAAATGGTTTTTGGTGATTTATTTAAATCATATAAGTTTTTCAAAACTGTCATAAAGACATAAAAAACCTACAAATGTACATTTGAACACTTTTCTGTTTTCATACTGTCTCTTGGTTATCAAGTTCCTTCGGGAATCGTCAAAGATCTTAATGTGAACACCCATTCAAATCGAACTAAACGAAGATGCCATTTGTGTCCAGCAAAACCTGAACAAAAAGTTCGACAAACCTGCGATAATTGCGGACAAAATGTTTGACTTTCACACTCTAGCAGCATCACAATGG